GGAAGAGGAGGAAGGAGGAGGAAGAAGGAGGAGGAGGAAGGAAGAGGAGAAGGAGGAGGAGGAGGAAGAGAAATGACGTCGTCGACGAGTCGTCGACGGCGGCGGCGAAGCGGCGGCAAGGGCAGGGACGACGGCGGCGGCGTCGCCTCGGTCCGCCTCGACGCTGCTTCGGAGGATGCCGAGGGGGGGGATGAGTACGTGATCATTTCAACTCAACTCTCTCGAATGCGTCGAATGCGATCTGTCTGGTAGCGCCCAGCGCAGAGAATAAAAAAAAAAAAACCGACGACCAAAAAGGGAAACACCACCACGGGACCCTAGAGAGAATTAGGAGTCGGTCGTCGGGGGGTCCTAGCATCTCTGCACGCGCGGTGCAGCCGGCAAGAGAGTGCGCGAAACGGTACTCGACCGCTTGCGCGGTCCAGGCTGCCTGGTCCAGGCTGCATGATTACGCGACCTCTGTTGTTGTTCATCCGTCCTGCTTCTCTGTTTCTCCCCCTACCTCCTTCTCATCCTCATCATATCGATCCCCCTGAGGTCTTTGAGCTCCTACGGGGTCCTACCTACTTCAGCAGGTGAAGGTAATCAGATTTCTTCAGGCCCTTGGTGCCAGGGATGCCCTTATCTGCTGAGACCTCCTTAGCCTCGGGGCTGTTGCCGCTGGCCTTGCTGTTGATCAGCGCGCCGCTGCCGATCAACTCTTTCGGCGGCGGCGGCGTGATCTCCGCAGCCTGTGGCAAGCGACCCCCATTCTGCTATCCTCTCTCTGCTTCCTCCTCCTCCTCCTTCTCCTCCATCTCCTCCTCCTCCTCCTCCTGCTCCTCTTCTTCCTCTTCCTCTCCCTCTCCTCTTTCTCTTTCTCCTCCTTCTCCTCCTCCTCCTCTCCTCTTTCTCTTTCTCCTCCTTCTCCTCCTCCTCCTCCTCCTCCTGCTCCTTCTCCTCCTGCTCCTCTTCCTTCTGCTCCTTATTCTCCTCCTATTCCTTCTCATCCCCCTAGTCGCCCAGACAAGTTAAACCCAAGTTCAAGAATCTCAAGACATCTCCAAAGGAAGAAACGATTCCAGAACATATCAAGAAGTCCAAGTAGTTTTCAATCGGTCGACGACGTGACGACCTGGGCCTGCGACCCACGGCCTGAACTCTTCATCTTCTCGTCGGGCACCGCGTAGCGCCACAGCTTCAGCGGAGCCTTGAGGGAGCACCCGAGGTCCGTCGGCACCAAGCACGGGACGTATACAGGACAGTCAGTAATGTCACCAATGGAGAGCCACTTGGGTAGCTTGAGCTGTAGACCCTGAAATGCAACTACCATTGGCGCCGCTGGCGGCACAAAAGGCATTGCCGCCTCGGGCTTCGGCTTCGCTTTGCCCTTGGCAACTGGAGCAGCTGGGACATCCCGCACTGGCACAAGCCATGCTGGGACTGGGCTGTCCGCCATGACCCCGTGCTGTGATTCCTCGTAGGCCAGATACACAGGAATTTGCAGGCTGGTCTCGGCGCCCACCGCACACTTGCCTTTGACGCTGGCCGCATCACCCTCACCCCCAGGCTGAATAGAAACTCCACATATCGTCATAATGTGAAAACACTGCTTGGAGCGGGTCGTGGAGACGCAGCCAGCGAAGTAAAGTTTCGGCTTCCAGCCAGAGGCAGCACTGTCTTCTTTGAAGAGCTTCTCCTTGCCGATGACGTCGATGGTGTTCACAGCTTTTCCTTTGGACTGGATGAAGTTCGCATCAATCCTCAAGTTCGCTTCGTCTGCTTGGTTTGGCCGAAATGCGAGATTGAACAGATGGCCTTCGATCGCCAAGCAGATCTGCTTCACATAGGCTGAAGTCACCTCGCCTTTAGGAATTTTGAAGAGCCCATTCTCGTTGATGCCAGTTGAATGCTTTGTAGCAAGCAGGTCACGAACGGTGGCACCACAGCCAGACTGCTGGTCAACGAACAGGGCTGCATCTTGATAGCGAAGCACATCACCAAGATTGCCTAATGTGACCGTCCTGTCAGAAGTAGGCTTGGCACCCAACCCAGGACCCGACGCAGCCGACGGCACAATGGCAGACCCCTCCGTCCCGGCAGAAGTGTTGGCGGCATCGGCTGCGCTGCGTACAGCATCGATTTGACGATCGAAAGCTGCTTGCGCATCTTTTGAGGCATCCTGAATTCCCCACAAAGTCTGAGCTGCGTTGCATGCCTCGTCTATGATGACGTACTCACCCTCCTCCGACTCACCAGTGATCTTGCCTTCAATGATGGCGTCGAGTATCATTTCTAAAGCGGAGTTCCAGGTTCCAAGCCACAACTTCCTGCCAACGCCTATGCAACGACAGTCCATCTGTAGCAGGGATGATTTGTACTGGCCCTCGCCCCTGAAGACCTGCACCGCGAGCGAGATTTTCTCCTTGGCAATAGCAGTCTTACCTCCATTAGTAGCCCACGTGGCTCCACGACCCTGGCACCTCGAAAGTAAAGCACACACGATTTCGATGACGCACTTGCCACGACAAAGCATGAAGTTCTCCATGGATTCCATTGTCGGAAATACAGTACTGGCTGCCTGAACAAACGACGACAACAACAAACACATGGTAGGATGTAAGTGTTTGTCACAAACACTTACATCCTACCATGTGTTTGTATTTTGTTTGTGGTTATTATAGTGGTTATTTGAAATGAGGCCTCTGGGATGACGAAGTCGCCGTACGAGTCTGGATTCGCCCACACGATTGCAATCTTGCCAGCTGGCGCCAGGTACATATCTCCAAGAGCTCTGCAACCATGCTCATCACCGAAATTAAAGACCTCACCGATCCAATCCATCATCTTGGAAATCAACAGTGAGTGAGTCCTGGTCTTGTCCTTCTTTGGTGGCATGTTGGCCTTGGCATATGCTTCGAAGAGTGACCAAACGCTGCTCATCAATTCAGGGAAGCATGGCAAGTGGGACACAGACATCTCGACCTCGCTGGGGTTGTTGCTCACAAAATCTGCCAGCACCTCAACGTACTCCTGGTTCGAAAAGAAATCTTTCAATAATTTCTCAGCGCCGTTCAAAGATTCACCCGACTGAACATCCGATGTTGTAGTTGCCACAGGAAAGGGAACCTGCACTGCCGAAGGGCTCTCCATCACAATGGCTGTGGCGATCTTCTTCGCCTCCGCCCGGACGGCCGACCAGGTGGACAAGGTCTTCTTCAGGTCTTTGAACATGACCTTCCGAAGGAAGCAGCGAGCAAGCTTGCAACAAAGGAGCACGACATACATACTAGTGGATCTGCCGAAGCTCCCGTGGAAACATGTGCTCAAACATCAAACATCACACAAAGCACGCCCTGTTTTGCTGAGATCGGCTGTTCGCTTCTACTGACTCCTCCTCTCCTCCCCTCCTCCCCCTCCTTACTGCCTCATCCTTTTCTACCTTCTCCCCTCCTCCCCTCCTCGCTCATCCCTTCCCTTCTCCTCTTCTCTCCTCGTTTTCCTGCGTCCTTCTCCTCGGGCTCCTACTCTCCCTCCTTCCCTCCTTCCAGCCACCGCCGCTGTCTGGATCAACGGTCCGAGATTAGGGCTCGGACGTGGCCCTCGAAGCTCCACGCGAACTCGCAGCAGATGCGGATGTACGTCCGCTTTGCCTTTGGGGGGGGCAGGACCAGGGAAGCACGAGCGCGTTTCAGTTTCTGGACCCCATCTAATGTTATCATTCTGGCAACACCCCATACTTACATGGAGCTGCTGTTGATCACTAGACACAAATAAATACATTGGCGATGAGCCGTGTCTAAGGAGGAATCGATATGCATTGATTCGCCCAGTGGCCGTCGCAATAACCACCAAGGTCTCTTCGCTCTGGCGCTGCTCGTCACTGGTGAAGGCGGCCGAACCCAAGGCGTCTTCAATGGCCGCGATCAGACCAAGCCACATGTCCTCAAACCAGCTGATGCTCTGATTGTCACTGGTGGATTGCATGGCCTGGACCGTCTCCATGTGTTTCAGCTCAACTGCGCCGCCATTACTTTTAGTGCTCTTGCTGCTCCTGCGCCCCGCGCCTCTGGGCTTCTTTCCAGTGGCTTTGTCTTTCTCAAGATCCTTGGGAGCGTCTTTTGCCTCGGCCTCAGTCTCATTTTTCTTAGTCTCCTCACCTTTATCATCGCCATCAGTCTTGGTGGGGAAGAGGCAGTCGAGTCCATCCATGGAAGTCTTCCTCCTGAGCCTGCGCGGGGTCGCCTTATCGGCAGCATCAGCAGCCCCGGCACTGTCGACAGCAGCAGCCGTGGCAGTGTCAGAAGAGCCGAGCGAGGATGCCACATTCAGAAGCTTTTCTATTTTCTTTTGTGCCTCTTTGTATACCTTTCCAGTCTTGATGTCTATCATCAGGATTTTGAACTTAGTGTCAGCCTCTTTAGGATCTCGGATCAACCAACTAGTGTTTGAAGCTTGACTGTCAAGGCCACGCTTCCAGTCATCATTACCGCTCTTCTGTTGCTTGGGCTTCGGTTGGGCATCGGCCGGCGGCGAATCCTCGATTGCAATGAGCTCATCCTCACTAGTGCTCTTGCGCTTCTTGCCAGCGATTGTAGGAACCTGGGCAACTAACCATGATCACCTCGTTTGACCCTGGGCGTCTAGATGACTAGACATCGGACTAATCCAGGACTCTCTAGCACCCGTCCCCACGCCCAGGCCGAGATCCAGACGCCCAGGGTAACGATGGATCGAGGTTGATTGCTAGTGTTTGCAAGCCATAGCGCCAAGAATTTGATCATTTCTTCGATGAGCATCCTGCCATCGTCCTTGGACAAAGTGACGAGGCCAGCTCTCAATGCAAACTCACCCTTGCCGTTCGCCTCGACGACCGAAGACGCAAATTTGCAAACAACCTTCATGCTGCCGAGTATGTGTTTGTTATTCAGATCTCCATCGTCGAACACAGCATGGTCCATCAGCCATTTGCGAATTGTGATCCAGCAGTCGAACTTCTGCTTCGAGAAAGCATTGATGACGAAGCAGTTCGTCTCGTATTGAATGCTCGACGTTACCAAGCCGAGCTCGATCTGCTGCTTGAAGTTCGATTGCATGAATGCCCACGTTTTCTGGCGGTAGCTCTCCTCATCCGCCTCATTGCTCTTTGCTTGGATGTGGTTAGTAAAGCAATGCGTATTCCATGCGGCCTGCATCTTCATAGTTGTCTCGATCACTTCTACGCATTGGATAACTTGGACTTGGCCGAATGTGAAATTCATAAAAAACTTCATCCAACTAATGACGTCCTTTGGAGTCGAGAACTGAAAGACGATCACTCTCTGGAGGCCCTTTCGCAAGGCTGCCTGCACATTTTTATTGCGAGGGTTTCGCTCGAACGCCTTATAAAAGGCAGTGGATAGATGCCCGAATGTAAAGAGCTGGTAAGGTGCTTGATCGTTCGCTGAGAGCGTCGCCATCGGTACTCCCCGAGCTTCCTGACACACACCAAATTGCAATATGCTTTGGATCTGTTTCTCCAACGTAGCAGCAGACTCCCGGTCGTTGAGGACGTGGCGCACGAAGTTTGGAGCTTTCGTGTCGGGGTCGAACCAAGGAACCGTGGCGTTCAGCATTGTGGCAACCTCTGCGATCTGACGAGACCACCCCGAAACAACAGGTGGGTATTCCAGGACCCTGGACCCTCACCGCCGTATGTTCTAGGACCCTGGACCGTCACCGCCCTGCGCATCCTCCTACTCGTCCTACTCCTCCTTATGCCTCCCCTCCTTCTCCTCGTCCTCATGTTGGCCACTCCCCCTCTTGTCGCTTTCGTTTGATGGATGAGCCAGGCATTTTGTTCCCGACCACCCCCCAAGTCTCTTTGCAGAAATCCATCCTGATTGCGCCGTTCATATTGGGCAAGCGCTTCTCGATGTCATCGATATCTGGGTCGTGTAAGCGAGCTAGAGCATGCTTCACAGAGTCTGGGCTGCTGACGAGCGCACTCCCCCCATGCCCTGAAACATCACCAGGAGAAGAGCCAGAAGCCATCTGCACAAAACTGGGCCCCGATTTTGAAGTAGAGCCGAGGGATTCTGAGAACGCAGCCTCCGAAGCTGCCTTGAGCAGGGATGTGTCTGCGGGCGGTTGACATTATGTCCTAGCTTCCTCGTTTCTCGATCCTAGACCCTCCTCTCTGCCCCGACCGCCCATCACTCCTCGTCCTCTCGTCCTCCTCTAATCCCCTCCTCGCTCCTCCCACTCCTCGTCATCTCCTCCCATCCCCTCTCCTCCTCTCCTTGCTCCTCCCTGCCGTCGCACAGTCTGACATCACGGTTTTTGCAGACCAACAGCTAGTGAGAGAATTGTGCCGCACTATACCGCGGCGTCCGAATAGCAGACACCCAACAGTCACGCATTCGAGAGCCCCTTCAACGAAATGAAAACACAGAAGAGGTAGCAACCGTGTCCGTGAAAAACACAGCGCACGCTATGACGACGCCAGCGACCTGCACGTGCATAGTATTACCAGCCTGCTTGCACACCCTTGTCCGGGAACGAGCAATCTGTAATTCCCTGAGGTGGGCGCGAGAGAAGCTGCACATATTCGCAAATGTATTGGGATCCAAAGGCACTGACGTAGCATCAAGGACGGGGAACCCCTGCAGCAGCAACAGCTCGGTCGGAGTGAACCAACGCTCAGCCTTCCGGATCCACTCCATGGACTTGCACGAGATGCAATACATCACCTCGGAGTCCGAGCCACGGAAGCGCTCCACGGGGTTCTGGCGGAAATTATGATATAACAGCAATTGAGGATGCATGGAGAGAAGGGGAGAATGGGAGAAGCTAGAGGACGATGGGACGACGACAAATGCTGAGAGGACAATCAACATGCATCCCCAGGCCCAGTGTGTCCTGCGTGACGTTGACAACGCAATCGTCTGGCAAGTTGGAGGCCTCGTACTGTGAAAGGAAAGACTCCTCCTCACTGGTCAGGGCGGCCCTGTGGTCCCCCAGCTGAACTGCATAGTCAGGTCCCATCGGCTCTCTGAGCGTGCTCCACTGCGAGGCAGGGCGACTCGCTGACCACCTCAACTCGGATTCCACGTCCTCGTCCGTTGCCACCATGAACACGTGCCACGTGCATACCCGTGGCTTCACCACCAAAGCAATCACATTATCCAGCGTGCAGTGGGTGAGAGCCACACTGCGCTTGTGCAGTAGCAGCGTCCAGCGACGCTTCCTGCGGATAGGCCAACCAAATTGTGATGGGCATATGATGGTTGAGCTGATCACGTACATGTCCGAGAAAGCGGACTCTAGGATCTCGATGTTGAAATGGTCGCTGTTCTCGTGCACCATGATCGTTGGCTTGGTGCGCCGCATCAGAGTTGCCCAAGACACAAATGATTCTGCCGATTTCCCATCGGCTCGCCTACGAAGTCCAAGAGGCGAGAAGTCAATGCATGGCGAGCCGCATGCGTGCAACCTCCCAGGGGAAAACTTGCAACGCTTCTTGTGAACGCGGCAGTAGCTGTAGCCATCTGTGTTGCTGGAGCTCCGTGACCAGAAGCTACTCGAGGTGAGCGTCAAATCGCCCGAAGCTCGCCCAGCACTGACCGCCCCAAGAGCCAACGGTGTCAGAAACGATGTGATGTCGGAGAAAAGACACGATGGTGGACTGGGATGTGCTAGTAATTCTTCTTGGCAAGCATTGTCACATTCAATGGCAGAAACATGCTGCGGGTGCCTGACATCAGCACAGTTAGTCAATGATGCTAAGGCCGACGAAATAAGACTGATAGCCGTGCCAGGAGCGTCTATACCCGAAAACGCAGTACTGTATGTCAGATTCCTCAGCTTCGCCTGCATCTGCCTCAGATGATCTTCCTCTTCGCGACCCGCCCGGGGACCCCGTCGATGAGGACGCTTATTCATCCTCGTCGGTTTCGGCACAGACTTGAAATGTTCGGCAATTGCTGTAATCAGAAAGTTCGGCCAATTCATCAACTGCTTCAGCACGTCATGTGAGGCTGCGGCAGAAGAATCTAGACCAGGCTGCTGAAGAACAGGATGAGGTTGCCCAACATCAGAATTGTCTTGCCCGTCATGTTCAAAACAAACGCACCTTGGAAGCTCACGGGCTTGACCAACCAGCTTCACTGGTGGTGATTGTGGCGCTGCAGCAGACGATTGACTGCTGCTTGCCAGTATACCAGCACCCGCAACACCATCTGGTGCCATTGGAACACGAAGGCTGCAGTATCGACTGTCGCTGTTGCAAGTTTGTGCCAGCATCGTCTCTGAAACCAACGGTGGATCTTCAACGTGCGAATCTGAATTATTTTCGATCATGGCGAATATCTCGTCAAAAAGAGGAGTGGCAGTGCCATCTGGACCTGGTTGTTCGGCCTCCTGCGGCTCTGCAACTTCCTCAGTGGCTGCAGCAGAGGCAAAGTCCTCTGCGTGCTCCTGCGGAATCCCTGGAGTAGTTGGAGCTGGAGTGGTAGCTACATCAACAACCGCGGTCTGCGGCCTCACCACGTCCTCGTCGTTCGGGGCAGCGGCTAACCCCTCAGCCTCCAAGGTATCAGCGCCCTGCTCCTGCGGTTGCATCTCCAAGCCCTCGGTATCTGGAGCATGTGCAGACGCAGAGGATAGCGCAGCAACGTTAGAGACCTCAGCGGCTTGCTCCTGCGACTGCATCTCAACATCACCAGTTCCCTCCACCGGATCAGTCGCAACCTCCTCTACGTGCTGCTCCCCCGTTTGCTCGATATCTACATCTGCCTTGGGAAGTGGCTCACCATGTGGACCACGCGGCAGTTCCTCTGGTACTTCAGCTGTGGCAACAGTGATTGTCGAAGGATCGCTCGTCTGACGCTGAGGTCCGAAAGCCAAGCGTTTCTGCATGCTGCGGTTAATACATGAGTCTGTAAACACTGCCCATGGTGCTTTCCTGGGGTGGATTGGCAAGAATGGCGCGAAGCGCCCAATACATTCACCTAGAAGCCCGCGCGTTCTGACACTCGCAACCCTTGACCCGAACCAAAAAAAAAAAACTCCTCATCTTCCTACTCATTCTCCGTTTCCTCCTCACCCGCCTCCTCCCCATCCACATCATTCCTCTTTTCGCCCCTCACAACTCATGTTCATTCGCCTCCTGGTGTTGCACCCGTGCTGTCGTGATCGACTTGGCCGGCACAAGGAAATGATGATCTAGTTCTTTACAATCTCGAAATTCCCACATAACAATAGATTGATGATCACCAGTCGTCCTGGAACGCTTGGGATTACTCTGAGGCTTGTTGCAAAGAATGAATGCTTCGTTGATCGTTTTCACGCCGTGCATATTGTAGTAATCATCAAAATTTTCTGGGGTCAACCTCGTACACCTGAGGAAAGTCGCAGTTGCAACAGCTTCGAGCTCGACAGTGCTGCACCTCACCATAAGATATATTGACGTACCCGGCGCCACCACGCTGCATAATGACGGCTGGAATATTGCTGAAATCTGTCCATCAGTGAAATCCTGGGGAACGCTCACACAAAACGAAAGGCAACATCCAAGTCGAGTTTTCACAGAAGTCTGATTAAGAAATTGACCCCCCCCCCAGAAAAACTCCAGACGGGATCGAGTGGGTAAAATCTTATGTCCGCGACAATCCTGGACATTCTGTCGCGACAGTACAACTCCACGGTGGTCTGCAGGCATTGGGAGTAGTAGGCGATACGTCTCGATAAAAAAAACTGAGCTGAAATGTTTGCATTGTTGTGTTGTCGTGGAAATGCATAGTCGAGGCTCTGATCAGACACCCAGCAAGGTCTACAGCCCGACCCCGGTGCGTTCTCTATCGAGCCAGAGTGTCGAGCCGAATCCAGCTTCAGCGAAAAGGTAATCAAATACATTTGCTGGTGAGACAACAGAAAACGCACACATATGTCACACTCGCGCGTGCACGTCTACCGCTCGGACTCTTACATGTGATGATCTCTTCGAGTTGTATTGCATTGAGCAAGCAAGTATCATAACGAAATACGTGAAGGGAAATTGTATTCTTCCAAATGTTCCTACATATTTGTGCATCGCACCATGATAAAACATCAGCGCCCTTGAAGAATCTACGTGGTGTAGTTCCATGCGGTCGCTTACATTACCAGCGTGGTTCAACATATTTTGTTGTTTGTTCAACTGTATTGCTTCGTATCCTGTATAATTTCTTATGTTTTTACAACACATATCCTGTGTATTCAGTAGCGCGTCATTGATTTTTTTCTTGTGTTTCAATTGCGTTTCTGATTTTTTTCAATGATGCTGCAATATTTTAGATTGCGTTTTCAATATATTTTATTGAAAATTATTGGTCGTGATAATGGTTTTTCATTATTTTTCAATGATTTTACAATTTAAATCATATGTTTTTTCTTCGTTTTTCTTCATTTTTTAATTAATTGTTGTAACGCATTGCTACTTGTTTTCGGAATTTCGATTGCGTCTTTATTGTTTTTTTTCATGTGTTTTAATAGAGTTGTTGATGATTTCAGATATGTTTTCATTACGTTTGCGAATTCCTGCAATCAATACGCAATGATTTTCTTGCAGTGTGGGCGAAGCTGCCTCTCAGTGAAC